TCACCTCCCAGTCCTGCTCCGGCTCCGTGTCCCCGCCACTCCCGGCGGCTGTCCCGCAGCCGCGCTTCTTGTCCTCCTCTTTTTTCCACTTCATGCGGCGATTTTGGAACCAGATCTTGATGTGTCTCTCGGTCAAGTTCAGCATGACGGCCAGCTCTACCCTGCGTGGCCGGGAGATGTACTTGTTGAACAGGAACTCCTTCTCCAGCTCCAGCAGCTGCGCGCGAGTGTAGGCCGTGCGCGTCCGCTTGTTCTCCTCGGGTTCTGCGGAGTAGGCACTGCCTGCGGGACACAGGACATGAGAGTGTGCTTCCCTACCCTGGCTGCCTTCTGCGGGAGGGGAGTGAGGGGGGGGTCCAAGGCTCTTACTGACACTGCGGTGGGCTCTCTCAACAAGTGGTTCTTGAACGGGTTCCCTTAACTTGTGTATGTATTGATGCTGATTGAAATGTGCATATTAGATTTCTAAACCAATTTGATCCTACAAAGGCAATAAAATGACTGTAATACAGAACTAAAAAAAAAAACTTTCTGCCAATGACCCACAAGAAAATACATTTCAGGACCACTACCTAGTTCATACAGATATATAACTGACACAAACACTTTCAGGACATAAAACCAACTTTTACCACATACAATGCTATCTAATTTTTCCTATTGATTACTATTTCATTTTTTCAAAGAAAGATCTCAACCCAGTACATTGATTTCATTACCCACTAACAGGTGCAACCCTCAGTTTGAAAAACCTTTGACTAATAAAAATCTGAAAAAAAAAAAACTTTCTGCCAATGACCCACAAGAAAAATACATTTCAGACCACTACCTAGTTCATATAACTGACACAAACACTTTCAGGACATAAAACCAACTTTTACCACATACGATGCTATCTAATTTTTCCTATTGATTACTATTTCATTTTTTCAAAGAAAGATCTCAACCCAGTACATTGATTTCATTACCCACTAACAGGTGCAACCCTCAGTTTGAAAAACCTTTGACTAATAAAAATCTGAAAAACCTTGAGTTTATATAACAATATCCATATATCCATATATTGTTATATCTGACCACAGTTCTCTGTATAGTTGTAGAGAGGGCCAGGAAATTTTCTGTAATTGTCCTCATTTTAACTTCGTCCGGGCCCCTGTCCTAGAAAAGAAGGGAAACTATTTTGGGCCTCTAAGAAGGTCGCTGTCAGCCTCCGCCTAGGTCTGGACCCTAAATCCTGGTTGAGGGGCGGCGCAGAGGCCTGCACTGAATCCTGTTTGGGACTGGAGGGGATGGGGTGGCTCAAGGGCTCCCAGTTCTAAGCCGGTGAGAAGCAGCAGTCCGGCCTGACCCTGTGGATTAGCTCACAACTGGTGTTTGCGGCCGCGCTCCTCGAGGTCCTGGGCTTTTCCTTTCTATTCGAGATCCTGCCTGCACGCGGGGCTGTGGACTCTGTTGGGGCAAGTTCCACCGAAACGCTGGGAAGAGGCCTAACTCTGTCCTTGGGCAGAGTATGAAACGTTTCTCCCGTGACTGTTGGCTAGGCCTTAGGGAGCTGAAAGGCTGGTGTGCGTGTCTGTGGAGGAGGGTTAATGACACCATGGAACCTGCCGGGTTTCCCCCGGGCTAAGCGTTGGCTCCCAGCAGCCAGGGCAGAGGCTCGGCCTGAGTCAGCGAAGGACGCTTGCTCGCCTCAGGGCATCTCTGGGTCTTGCACTCCCAAGCCTTCCTTGGCCTGGGAGGGAGCGTGGAGGAACATTTAAAGCATTAAAAAGGCCCTCCGGGGTCTCACATTCCACCCACACCCTCCAGGGCCCCTTCTGCCAGAGGCGCTGTGAAGGCTGCGCTGGGCGCTACCCCAGGAGACAGACGCTAGGAGAGTTGGCAGGAGATGGAGGTGGAGGTGGAGGCTGTTGTGCTGTTAGTGGGAAATGGCAACAGGAGAGCTGGCCAGTGAGGCTGAGACAGTTCACTTTTTAGGTCAAGTTCTTCGGAAGTTCCTGTTGTTGGTATTCATATCTGTGTTACGAATAAAAGCCCTTGGGTCATCCTGCCCTCCCAGGGGCGTGGAACCCCAGGCGGAGTGGGCAGGCGGGTTCACAGACCCTGGAAGTTTGGCTCCTTTGAAAGTTTCCCCTGGAAGGACCCCCACCCCAGGCAGCTTCCAGGAAAGAGGGGTCCGGGCCCCTTCCCAGCAGGCTGAGCCTGCCAAGGGCCAGAGGGCGAAGGCAGAGGCCCCGCCAGCCCCGAAGCTCCAGCCTGGGGATGCCACCTTCCCGGTCCCTCGCTGCCCCGACAAGGCTGCCGATTTTCCTTCGGGTTTTACTTTCTGGCTTCTTGGGCCCCTGGAGCCCAAGCTGCACCAGAGCGAGGGGGACACTCCTGCGGGAGGAGGGAAGGGATGTGGCCCACCTCAGGACCTCCCTCGCCCTTTCCGGAGGAAGCCGCCGGGAGCGCGGGGAAGGCCAGAAACTGTGCTCCCAGCGCCCTTCGGGAAGGGAGCCCTGGAGGGAGCACAGCTCCCGCAGGAGACTACGGACTGAGACCCCCACCTCCCCCCCATAGAAGGACGCGGTCCTCCTGCCTCCCCGAGACTCCGGCCCCTGGCCCGGCCGCAGGGAAAGTGTGTGCAGAAGCGGCGGTTTCGCCGGAGGTGGGAAGGTTGCGGCTGAGTGGGGGCCCTGTCCTGCCTCAGGACCCGCCCCGGCCTCACACTCAGCTTTCAGAAAAAGTGAACTAGGAGAGGCGAGCCCCGAGGACCCCGGGCGAGCCCGGACCCCCCAAAGCCCTGCTTGGCTGGCCAGGGTCAGGGTCAGGTAGGGCCGGCCAGACTCCGGGATGGGGGAGGGGCGCCAGCTGAGTCTCTCCCCCTACTCTCCTGAGTTGGGAGGAAAGAAAAGTCAACTATTTGCAGTGCAGGTGTGACCAGAAGTGGCTGCGACACGATAACATTGTGTGGCGGGGGCGGCACAGGCCGCGCCGGAAATCTCGGCAGGTCGGGGCGGGGAAGGAGCCCGGGCTGCTCGGCTCTTAGCCTCCGGCTCCAGGGAGACTTTCTGCTACCGCCGCGGCCCGGGCCCTGCTCCCAGGGCTCCCTGTGCCTGGCCTGGCTGTGCGGAAAGAGCATCTCCTTCCTCAAACGGACCTCCGGGAAGCAGCGCGGGAGACCCCTTCACACGCTTCTGTTTGGTCAAAAGTGAACTTAGCATCGCAGGCGCCTGGCCCAGCTGCCTGGCTCCTAGGTGAGCGGCGTCCTC